AAAATATGGTTTGACTTGGTCTCCTAAAAAGCATCTTACGGAGGCACCACCCAGCCAGCCGTGGGAGTCTGAAGAACATTCTTTTAATTGGTTAAACCTCTTTAAGTGCTTTATAATTGCTTTTACTAAGCAGCTTCTGTAACGGAGCAAATGCTACCTGGAACTGATCACGTTTTAATAGGCTTAACCAGTGTCCACCCAGGGACGTGCAGAGCCTCTCCTTGATGTCCATCAGTTTGTCTCAACGTTGTTATCAGAGCTCAGCTGCGCCGTTCAATAACTCCTTCCTTCCATCCACAGCAGGAACCGATCTGACAGGCAATCAGGGAGGCGTTGAGGGCGGCTCGGAGGAGAATGGACTGCAGGCTGGTGTACTGAGGGGGACGATTAATGCATGTCACAAAACTGTCCCCTTTCGAGAAGACATTTTGGCCAAACAGTGCTTTCAGCCTGAGACAAGCTCAAACATGCCCTGATTTTTGAGCAGCTGTTTGGAAATGTGAGACTGAGATGGGGAAGATTTACATTGCCCCTCTATGTCTGGATACAGTACGCAACGGTCTGGGCAGTGTACGTGAGGTTTCACCTGCTAAAGGCTGCTTATTCTGAAGGGTGCGTGTGTGCATGTGTGTGTTTAAGATTTATTTAGGATGTTACCGAATGATTGGTGTATCAGGCGATGCAGTCAGAGAATATCCACCCTCCCGTGAAGCATCACACAGTGCCCAAAAGACTCAGCTTCCCAGCACTACAATATAGCCAAGGAATAATAACAAAAAATGGAGGTGGTTTATAACTGGAGAAATGGAAGGAATACTGGATGGATGAAGGAGGGTATGAAATCCCTTGGCGGGAGGTGTTCTTAGTGGCAGCACTGGTGCAGACGTTGCCCTGTTATCCTCACAAAAGATCTGGGAAGCTGCCAGCGCCTGGAACTCTCTGAATTTGGATCCTCACACCTGGTGAGCGCTGACAGCAGAGAGGGAATTACGGTCAGAAATCACATGCTTAATGAATTAATGAGCTGGCTCCCAGGCAGCAGGGCTGACATGTTCCTTGATCCTGATCTCCCTAATTATTTTGTACATGACCAAAGTCAGACAGAGCCAAGAAAATACATAAACGCTACCAAAGAGGAGGAAAATGATGTTGTGGATGTTTTGAATGAAGCTGTTAGCCTGACCACTTTTAGCTCCTATTTCAATGTAAATAAACACATCATCTCAGTAGATTTGGAGGAAGGAAGGAAGGTGTTTGCTGCTCTGATTCACCCAACAGCTCTGCACACCATGAACTGCAAAAATTTCTTTTCTGAGCACTAGTTTTACAAGTTCTGAAATATTTCACCCTTAAAACAAAATCAAGCTCTCTGTACTTCAGGCCAAAGTTCACTTTTGGAAATGGAAAATACTTTGGCCCCCCATGAAGCTCTGGTTTTGTGCCAACAGTTTTATTAATGTGGACAAGTGTCGTTTTTCTTTTCCCATCCCCCTTCCATAAACTAGCCTAGCTGCGTACATGGTTTTGGCTTCCACGGATCCCAGGATAAATCATGTGCGTCCTTGTTTATTTTTTGCTACTTTTCAGACAGCTCACAGGCCTGGTTTATTAAAAAAAAAAAAAAAAGTTGTGAGGAACAGGTGACAAAAGTAAATGTGAATCAAGCACCTCCAGTAATCAAGTGCATCTGAAAAATGAAATGAAGTAGGATTTCACTCACACTTGCTAGATAAAAAAAGCCTTTCTCCATGATGTGGTGAATCACAGACAAAACTGACGGTGGATTTCTTATTTGCTGGAGCTTCCTCAGTCCAGAAAAGGAGCAAGCAGCCGCTCTCTCATTGCCTTCCCAGCAGGGAAGGGAGCTCAGTCCTGCTGCCGGCGTGGCACTGCGGAGATGCACGTAATATCTGTGCATCGCTGCCCGCGGGGCCCCACGGTGCCACGTCTGACCCACTTTTACACCATTTCAGGCTCCAGACTGATGCCCTCGCTTTTGCTAACTTTTCTCAGCTTTTGCAGTACATAACAAAGGCAAAAATTTGCCTGGAGAAGAAGAAAATAAAGCTTATTGTTCGGAGAAAGAAGGGCTGTTTTTCAGTGCCTCGGAGGAAACATGGACCTGTTGGTGAGGGATGCTCTTCCACCACCACCGAGCAATGCCCAGGGAATGGCAGGTGTAAATTTAGGTCTCTCTGTTATTATTCATGAAGAGCTCTCTCCTCTTGATGTTAAAAGAGTATACAATACTAAAAGGAGAGAGAGAGGTGTGAGATGTTGTAGTGCAAGTGAGAAAAGGCAGCTTCTCACTTAATGGCAGTAGGCAGAAGCGTTAAGAAACAGAAAAAGATAGCGGGGAACTGAGGGACTTGCATGGCCCCGTCCTTGCAGGCTCAGCGCCGAAGCAAGGCTCACTTCTTATCCCCGGATGGATGATGGTTAACCGGGGTGCAGAGACAGTAAATAACCCCAGCCCGACAAGATAATTACAGGGAATTTAATGTCTTCTGGGCTTTTCTCTCCTTTTTCTCAGCAGGCGTTTCCCAGCATGGCGTTCAAAGCCGGGGTGCACATGGTGGCTTGCCTATGGCATGGGCATAGCGTGCTGCGTGGGACGCACCCCTCGTGACAAACAGCTGGAGAAGTCTCATGGAGGGTCTTGGTGCCTTCTCCAGGGATTTCTTTCCTTGTTGAAAATGTGGCCTTGGCCAAAGCACTTCAGCTACCAAGAGCTTTGCCATGAAAAGCACTGGTCAGAAAGCTTTCTGCTAACAAACTCCCACCGTCTAATGCACACGAGGACTCTCACGGTTTATAGCCAGTACTGGCATACTTTATTAGGTTTGTTGGGGGACTATTTTTGAAGAGCTTTTGCTTTATCATCTGTCAGTTTAAGCTACCAGATTCTTTGGTCTTTTCCTCAGCTTATTTAATTAAGCCATCCAGTATTTTGCAGTACAGCTCAATTCCTGGGTGCAGGATCTTTTATTTAACCTTTGTCTGAACCAGAGTTCTGCAGAAAAAGAAAAGGAATGAAGTGATATATGCAAGGCTTAAGTTGCTGTTGACCGAATCATTAAAATGCTGGGCTAGTTTTGCTTTTTCAGAGTCTCTGTGTGTGATGAGGTTTGTTCTTTAGCTCTACATATCAACAAGCAAAGGCAAAAGAAAAGGATTATTTGTGATTACCCTAAATGTCGTTGTTTGGAAGAATAAAAAAAAAATTGAATCTCTTTCTGTCTTCACCCATGGAGACCAAAGTTCTGTCTAGTTTCTCCATGAAGTTATGAATACCCACCTGAGCAGTCCATAAATGGCCACTTGTGCTCACAACTATCAATGTTGTTTGAGGCATCGCATGTGCAAACGTGAACCTTTTATTGCATGTGAAATATGGATGAAGCTATTTTCCAGAATAGGGCTTGGGAATTTGACTGAAATACGCTTCGATAGCCAGCCCTCAAAAGGCTGCAAAATTTAGTTAAAATCATATAAGAAGCAGCGTTTTTTCAAAAATTTCTGCTGCATACTAATTTGGCTTGGGGCAAAAAATGTCTTTTCTTTAATATATTGTGATTAGCTGGGTCAGAATCTGGCAAACATTGGGTGCAATATCTGGTGGGAGAAGGTAAAGTGCAACTCATAGAAGGGTGCACTCGTGTCCCTTGGGAACTCTGCTGAGTTTATAGTGAGACATTTGGCCTCCAGGAAAGGCAATAAATCGGAGTCACCTTACCCCAGAGCTGAACACTTGACTTAGGGAGACGTTATGTGCAGGACAGGAATAGGGGAATTCTCTCACCGTAGACAACACAGTGACCGCCCCTGCCACTGTCTCGCTTCAGGTTTTCAAGGGTACAATGGAGTTATTTCTGGGATATTATAAAACAACAGGTGTATGGGATTACATGAGGAATATTTTGCTGTCAAATCAGTGTTGCTATTGTCAGAGTTTTGAAGAGGAGCAACATTACAAAGAGTCTGAATTGATCAAAAGTATTTTTTTTTAATATCTGAGTCATTTGGCCATTTTTTTTTTCTAACAGAGAGAGGAAAATTGAAATCTGAATTAAAGCTGTGATTGATTGCGAGAAACTCCTTTGTCCTACATGTGTATCTTCAGGGGAAAACTGATTTTCTACACACTTCTAATGATGCAGAGAACACCTTCAGAGCAGCTCCTGCTTTTACCTTGGGAGCAGGGGAAGGAAACCACCAGCACTGGGTTTCCAAAGTCTCTGCTTGTAACAGCTGAGAGGAATTTGCACATCTAATTTACCATGGGCAATGCCAGTGGGGCTGCATACCCTGTGCTATGTGTCCACTCCAGCCGATCTCCTCAAACCCAATCCCACAAAACAAATTTGGTTTTAAAACTACATCAGTCTCCCGGTCACAATCAGAGCCTAAAACCAGCACCAGCCGAAAGAGAGGTGTTCCGGCTGGAGCTGGCCAGAAATAGAAGAAGAAACAGGAAAACTTGATGTTATCAAGTTGTTTCTATTTCCTAGAACATGAAATATATTTTTTCCTTAAATTTGAAATTTTCATTTATCAGCTTCTCCCCCATTGAGCACAATTAATTAAATAATCCTCAAATATCTCTTTAGCTTCCTTTCTCTATATGATTTTCTTTTTTTATCCTTTAAGGGAAGATCAGGACTCAGAAAAGTGACTCTGGGAGAAAAAGAAAATAGTGGAAAATAGATGGTAAAATTCCCTAGAAAACTCTTGGTGACTCAGCAAGAAATAGATGAAGAAGGAAAGAGACCGAGAGACCAAACAAATTTATTTTCCAAAGTTTGGGGCTTTGAGACAAGGATTGGACAATTTTGGCCAATGTCAAAGCATTTGGGAGCAATTTGGATTTCCAAAAAGAGCTAATTTTAATTTAAAATGTTTTGTGTGAAAGCATTTACCAATTCCAACCTACGACTCTTCAAATCGTATTTACTTAGATACCTCTAGCCAGTTCCATGCCAAAATATGTGAATACTTACGTAGGACCCTCACGCCGTGCTTCAAGGCTTGCACGCGGCTGGGCTCCATCGACATGCTGAGCATCGTCTGCTGCCCGCCGATGGTGCAGACCTGGTTTTCCTGGGCAGCCTGCTTGAACATGACCATGAGCTGGTTGGCGATGATGGTGTTGAGCACAGAAATGATGACCATGGGGAACACGAAGGAGATGAAGGTGTTGACCTGCAGGGGAGAGATGTGGCACGGTCAAGGGACGAGAAGGATCAGTGGAGCAGGAGATTGTGTTTTATCTCTAACAGAAGTAGAAAAACAGCCTGCAGTGGAAATCTTTTCCCTCCTCTTACTCTGCTGGCTTTGGCTTTTGAAGGCTTATTGCACAGAGGGAAAACTCAAACACCACTGACACACAGTCATTCATGTGGGTCAACACTCAAACAAGGCAAATTCTTTCACATCCAATTATGTTGTCTTCCCCTTTTCAGTGCAGTTCATTGCCAGAAATGTCTCGACTGAAACATGCCATTGATCTTTTCATCTCGCAAACAGCAGGATGCTTCTTAGCTTTCACTGTGCGTAGCGTGACTTCTAAATAACAGTATGTTATTGTATTTTTTGTTTATTATGAGCACTCCTTGGGATCTTGTTAACTTTCTTTTTTGTGTTCTGTCCTTTCCTTGTAGATTTAATGACAGCGTTTTGTTATGTCATAATCAAATTATCCAATAAACCTGATGCCTTAAAGGATTAAAACTGATCGGAATAAAGAAGTGGAAGTTGTAATGTTTTTAGTACAAATTATTTGATTACTACAGTTTTGATAAAATTAAATGGAGGATCAATTTAAGCAGTGATTGAATCAAGTGGAAGTCACTGTTTGTGTCAAACAAAAGCAGGAAGGCTTTGTAAGAGCCTCCTGCGCTGTCTAGAAACCCTGCTGGAGCTGAGCTTAACAAACGGCAGCCCAGGGAAACAAAGGCACGTGTAGGATTTGCCTGCACGTTTGTGGCAAGGCTGCCGTGGTGGGATGGTGAGCTGCTGTGCTAACCCTCCCTGCAGCATGGAGGGGCTGGGTGCCCGTGGGGCTCGTCCTCGCCGCTGTACAGCTCAGGAGGAGGCTCAGCACATCACTGAGATGAGCGTGGGACAAATCAAAAGCCCCTTCAAGTATTAAAATTTCAAAATATTAACAAGAACTTAACTGTGTGCTCCAAATCGCTGTGGAAGCAATTTTTTTAAAAGTGATAAAATGGCAAAAAGATAAAACTATTAAAACCAATAGGGAGCTTTGCCCTGTGGTAGGGTTACAAGGCATGCTAACTTCTTCCCTAGGTAGCCACATATCTTGCACCTCGGTCCTCTAAAGTACAGAAGCAACCCTGCACCCCAAGCCAACCCCACATCCCTCTGCAGGCTGCAAAACCAGGAAAGCCTCATCGACAAACGGGTGCTCCGTCTGCCTAGATGGAGACATCCCCTCTCCACCCACCCACGCAGCACCATCACCTCAGTGTTCAAGCATCTGCTGTACACCCAGTATCTACTGCAGATGTGTGCTGTCTTTGCTCTGTAGGGATTCAGAAATGCCAGAGATGAATGGAAAGATGGAGAAAGAATCTAACCACTCCCCCAGGATGCTCCAGGGGATCCATACAAGAAAGAAATAAGAAGCACATAAGCATACGGGGAGCAGGCGCGCTGGTAATCAGAAGCACTTAAGTTTCTTTGTTCATAAATTTGAGAAAGATGCAACTCCTCTTTTGGTGAAGACAGGCAGTGTTGTTGTTGCCAAAGTGTTTTTTAGATGGATCAAGTCTCTATACAGCTTTGTGCTCCAGAGCTCAACACATTTAGCTCGTTTATGCTGGTAATAATAATAGCGCTCCTCCGGACTGAGGAAATTCCTAGATATACCCCAGCATTACAAGCTGTTAATGGCTTCTTTTGTTAAATATATAGCAGTTTTCTAAGCTTCTAAAAGATAACACATCTCACAGCCTCCTGCATATAAAGAGTAGTTATCTTTTGGAGTCGCCTCAAGACGCAAAGAAAGATCATTAAGCAGTAGGGACCAAATTCTCAGCTAGTACAAAATGACCCGGTTTCACTGAGAAAGTAATTTGTGCTTGTAAAGAACCTGCTTCATTTATTTAACCTTCACGATGCAGCTGGGCTGCATTGGTGCACACAGGGGTGAAATGACTTGCTCAGACTTACCGGATCAGACTAAGAAACGAGCCCTGTGGTTCCCCACTCCTATTTCCATGGCTTTAGTTGCTGAATGTCCTTCTTTCCTACTGCTGAACAATGTTTGCACATCAGAAAATTGAAACGCTTAACTCTAGAAATGCTTCACTCTGTCACCTGAGCTTCGGAGTTCATTGGCTTTCATTCAAAATTTTTGCTATTAGGCAAAAATTAGTCTTGTCTAATATAATTACACAGAACTCAAAAAGTCTTTTCTGAGCTTTCTTTAAAGCCTTGATTCATTCCATAACTTTTAAGCTTTGGAAGTCTTTCCCAAGTCTTTAAAGAGCTTGGGAAATTGTCTAGAAGAGCATTGACTTTCCCTTTTATGAATTGTTATGGTGAAAGTGTGAAAATTGCATGCTTTCTATGAAAGGCTATATTTAAAGTTTTTTTCCATGTCTTGATTTGTACCAAAACTCTAATATAGTTAAAAAAAAATAAAACCAATATTTTCCCCAGAGGCAGAAGGTTTTAATTTGTGGAAAGAATTATTTGCAAACACAAACTCTCGAGGACTGTAAAGGCTAGAAATGCTAATCCCCCTCCTGCAAACCCTCTGTATTCAGTGTTTCTTCTGGCGAGCTGCTTGCTGGGTTGCGTGAGTCCGGACCCCACCGCACTGTGCAGGTCAGTGCAGTAACACTCCATTTCCAGGTGACTTTGCACACCGCTGGAGCTGGTGCCTCAAACACCTCTTCAAAGCCAGTGGAAAGTTTCCCACCTACTTCAAGAGGAGCTGGTCTGGGATCCCAGGACTACACTTTAAAAGGTCTTCAGGAGGAGGAAGACTTGTATAGGTGTTTAATGGGATTTTTTACAGCACTGAAACTCCTAACATCGGTGGGACTAAAGTGGCCATGGCTGTCAGTGAACACCTATGGAAGCCTTTGGATCCTTATATACCTTTACAGATCGCTCTGGCCCTGGGAAGGATGATTTAGACAGTGTCCAGGTTCATTTTTGACCTGAAAGTCTTGGGCTTTATGTTGGCTCACCATGGAAAGGACAGCTTATGTGATACTGGATCTAAACTAATTCTGTATTCAGGGTTGTTTGGATGCACAAGCAGAGTGGTCTGGCCATATCTCTGCTATCACCAAGTGTGGTTCACTCTGATCCTCCTCTCCGTTAAAACTCATGTGTTCGCATCAGTGTAAACCCACCAGATCCGAGGTTTCTGCTCAGCACCATGATGGGCAGTGAGATGCAGCATGAGCACAGTGCAGAAGCACAAAGCTGTGCATGGAAAGGCTTAGCACTGGCTGCTCTCTAGTGTAAAAAAAAACCCAACACCACAGACCCTGTGACTGTATGCTAAATCCTCTTAAAAAAAAAAAAAGAAAATCCAATACTACAAAGTTTTCCACTGGCGGGAGAGAATGAAACACTAACCCACTTCCATGCTGCTGTCGCTCCTGTAATCAGTGCAGTCCTAAAAGCCATTCAAACACCAGGCTGGCAGCATCTGTGGGATGGGATTCGTCCTCAGGACCAAACAGCGTTTTGTCTCGTACAGAACAACCACCTTCTCTTCCAGCACTGCCTGAGCAGTAACACTCAGAGACCCAAATCACTCTTCTCTGGCTGTGCTGCGCAGGACAGTGACGACGTGGATGCCGTCTGAGGGTGAGGTCCCAGCAGAAATCTCTGCCTAGACCCCGTCCCCATGAAGGCATGCCTGAGTTATCTGATCACTTGAGGGGATGCAAAGACATGGCAGAGAGAGCCGCTCTGACTCAGCCAGTCCTCAGAGGTACAACGCCTGCACGGTCCCCCAGGGCCGGGACGCTGACCTTCCCAGCCCCATCTTGGTGGTCGTGGGGGTCCTGCCCTGCCCAGGCACCGAGCCTCTCTGACTCTTTAACGATGATGCACTTTTCGTCCCAGCTTTCTCTTAGCCCTCTACTGCCAAAGGTGATTTTAATTCCAGCCGAAACATGAAGCATTAAAACTACGCAGGGTTTTGCAGGACACAGAAGACAGAGCAAATCTGGGTATAGGGCTTCATAAGCTCATGAGAAGACAAATGGAAATTTTTGGAAATTAAGTCACACTTCTGGAAGGGAGAAAATGCAGTTATCAGCCTCTCTCAGTCAGCTCAACAAAAATCAGACTTTGTGTGAGACTAGAGAATTCAGCATGATGTGAGTTTTCTTCTTCCTTCCAAACAGGAGTGTGGGAGAGACACGGGGGAAGGGACCAGAAGAATCAAGTGACACAAAAGCAGAAGCCAGTTCTTGGGTTTGTGACTCTTCGTAAATCTTTTGTGTGGAAAACTGCTCCCCTGGCTCTGCTGAGCTTCATGCTGACGTGATTTGCTTTTGCCAAGTCGTCCCTCAAATTATTTTGCTGCCGTGGTTTCCCTGGGTTACCACTAAAAGCAGACATCAGCTCACTCGCAACGGTGATGGAGAAGATGAGCATATAACCTCACGTAGGGACTCCCCAGAGGGCTTAAACGACTCCTGTAAATCAGAAGTTTTGCAAAGGTTTATTCTTTTGTGCTCTAAGGTGACTTCAGAAGGAACATGGACACAGAGGCCACTTTGGAAGATGTTTTTTCCATCCCTCCTACAAGCCCAGACTTTTGTCTTATACGTATCTGAAGGGGAGGAGGGGAAATATTACATGTTACAGGCATTTACAGATCCCCTTCGCTCCCAGCAAAACTCAATCACCTGAGCCACCTGCAGCTGACTGTTCCCATGGCCCGTCAGCGCATGGCTTTGCAGGGGTACAGAACTGTTGATGAGTGTAGATGCTTTATGAGGTCTTGGAGCACTTAAGTGGTTAAAAGTAAAAAATCAGGCAAAAGGCTCTTCCCAGAGATACAGTAGCAAGTTAAACACCTCCACTGAAGGTATTTATAATAAAAAAAGCCAAGAACCAGAACTATTCGTAATATTTTCATTGAAAGTTTTGATGAGAAAATCTTCCTTTACTGAGATCGTAAAAGATCTTTGAATTTGCGTCTT